AAAACTAAAATTAAATCATCTTTGAGAGCAAGGGGGCCCCCTGGTGTATCGGGGGCCCTACGCAGCTTGCGTATTTTGCATATAGCGAGGATCGGCTCTGCACATACACACACACATTTCGGTAAGACGAAAATGTTCTTTAATTTTTTGCATGTTTGTCACACTTAAATGATTCAGATCATCAAACAAATTTTAATATTACACAAAGATAAACCAAGTAAATACAAAATGCAGTTTTGAAATAATGATGTCATTTATTAAGGGAAAAAAGCTGTCCAAACCTGCCTGCCCTATGTGAAAAAGTAATTGCCCCCTAAATCTAATAACTGGTGTTGCCACCCTTGGCAGCAACAACAGCAATTAAACGTTTGCGATAAATGGCAATGAGTCTTTCACATCGCTGTGGAGGAATTTTGTCCCACTCTTCTTTGCATAATTGTTTTAATTAAGCCACATTGGAGGATGAATGGACAGTTTAAGGTCATGCCACAGCATCTCAATCGGATTTAAGATCTGAATCTTGAAAGTGTGAAAAATATGCACAAAAAAAAAAAACCAGGAAGGGGGCAAAAACTTGTTCACATCACTGTATATATATATATATATATATATATATTTGTAATTACCCATTTGTAATGAATTTTCAATTCAGTACATTTAAAATTTATAAATTTTAAATGTAATATCTTTTAATACACTACAGTTAAAATTATGATCAAGTACTTTACATGTGCTTTAATATGTTAGTCAACACATCAAAATAAGTGCACTTCTTTAAAGCATGACAAAAGATCATTAAAATGATGAAATGTTTAATTTGACTTTATTAAAGTGCACTTTTTACTCTCTGTAAGTGTGCTTAAGTGGCATTTTATTACATATTAGCTGCAAGCACAGTTTTTTAAAGAATGCTTTTAAGATTTGAAGTACACTACAATTGCACATTTATTACAATTAAGCACACTTATTTTTAAAAATGGTAAGTTTAACAGTAATCTTACAGTCAAAATCACAGGTTTCTCCACAAGTCATATCAGCTTCCCAAGCAAAGCTGTTGCAATAATCCATTGTTATTTTAAGTCAATGGGAAGATAATGATTAAAAGGAGTAATGCTGATGAAAAACCACACATTGCATAACTGAGTCAAAGGCCATCATATGAGGAGGAAACGGAGGGAGAAAGAAAGAAGGAATTTAGTTAACACTGTAAACAGAGTGACAGCACAAATAGTATTTTAAGGAAAGACAAAGAAGAAGGAAAGAAAAAGGCAAAAACAATGCTGAAGACTGATAGATGTAAGAAACTGTCATGTAAAGAGCAACCTTTGGACCCAGAAAGGCCTGGAAGAACAGAGAGCCTAGATGTGAATTCCAGTCCTTCATTGTTGCTGAATATTGCCCTTGCACTCCAAGTAAGTATTTATTTATTTATATTCCTTATCTCTTTTGCAAGTTAATAAAGTCATATAGTACAGTAGAGTACAATAAAAGCATGCACTTTAACTCCTGCGTGGATCACAGCTATATACTGTAGTTGTTGAAACTGAAGTCATCCTTGATTTTCTTTTGTAACTTGAAAATATACTTTCACATTTTAGTTAGTTTATGCTGAAATCTTACCTCATAATGAATTACATAAACGGGGCAAACATTGAACACAACAACTGAAAAAGTAAAAAGTGTTTTGCTCTCTGTCTCCAAACAGCATGTGTTGGTACTGTCCTCTCTGTGTGCGCTGGTTGTGGAAACACTCATTCAGGAAGTAGACAAAGACAGAATAGTGGCCTATGTGTTCTTTAACTCGGGTATATCTACACTGCTGCAGAGCTGGATTGGATCACGGTAAGATAACATTTACCCTGTTGCTTTCCATGTAAGCTGATATAGTTGTACTAAAGCATCTATAGGGTTAAGTCCAATGTTTCCTCTGTTTAGTTTGCCATTGATCCTGGCTCCATCTTTGGACTTTCTAATCCCTGTCTTGGCTCTGCTTTCTGCTCAGTCAGGTGAGAATGGCAGAATTAAAATGAAGCCAAAGACTAACTAAATACCTACCCAATTAAACATACTAACAAACCCAATGAAACCCATCTACAGAAAAAAAATGTAATTGGTGCTGATTGTATTGTGTGTTAGGGACTGCTGTGGCCTGCAGGGGGCAGTGCACTGAACCAGAGAAGCCTGTGGCCCCAGCACACCCAATAAGAGAGGTAGAGCACAGTGC